AACTGGGATAAAACCGGGGCTCTCCTATTTAGTAGCTGTGTAACCCTGGCAAGTTATTAACCTCTCTGTGCTTTAGTATCTGTCTTTGTAAACATACGGAATAATATATTCCATATATATTATATATAAATTATAATATAATATCACTATATCAACCTCATAGGGTTGCTTTATGTACTGAATGAGTTACCATTAAGCACTTAGAACAGCTCTTGATAGATAGCAGACGATAAACATTACGTTGTTACTGCTTTTTCTTTTCCAATCCTAAGTTCATATGAACCAACTCCATGAAGACACTGCTACAAACAGATACAGACAAGAAATAACCAGCCGGGTGCTAGTGGTTCATGCCTGTAGTCCTAGCTACTTTCCCTGGAGGCGAGATAGGAAGGATCTCAGTTCGAGGCCAGCCCAGGCAAATAGTTCATGAGACCTCATCTCCAAAATAACCAAAGCAAAATGGACTGGAGGTGTGGGTCAAGTGGTACAGTGCCTGCTTTGTAAGGGTGAAGCCCTGAGTTCAAACCCCAGTCCCATCAAAAAAACAAAACAAAACAGATTGACCTTCTGACTACTGGTGTCCTTGAACTCCCAGAATCCAGATAATCCCAGCATGAAGCTTACTTGTTAGATATCTAACACATGAGAAATACAAGCAAATTACTGTTTTATATGCATAAATAAACAGATTAATTTGGTGGAAAACTCCACTAGCTTTCTACCCAAGGTCTTCGATGCCTCTTAAGAAAAGGATGACATTTTGTTCAGAGTAACAAGGTGCTCAGCAAATGCTACTTCTCCAAAGTTCCTTGGCACCATGGTGACCTTATAACCAAATTCTTGGGACCCGTTTCTTGGCTCTTTGACCATACTACCATTTAAACACATAATGTTTACTGTCATTTCACTGTGCCTTCAACGTGAGCTGCAGCAACTCTCTCTGGTCATCATTGTGTCCCATATTCTTTGTGTGCCCTCTACACAGAGCAGAGACTCTGGAGACAGTTGTGTGTGTAGAAATGATGGGATAAACTGGAATGGGCTGGGTTTCTAGGAAAACTTCCAGTAGGAAGCTCCTGGGGTCTTTGCTCTACTGCTTTCTCCCCTTCACTTTGTTTTTCCTTCTCACTTGGAAGATACAGTAACCACTTTGAGGCCATGAGGGAGAAAGCAAAAAAAAAAAAAAAAACAAAAGGGCACAGCCTGAGTTCCTCAAGGCCATGGGGCCAGAACCTATCCATGAACCAATCCATGGAAAAAAACACGTGTCTAATAACTCTGTATTTGTTTATGACACTGTGTGCCAGCTTTCCTGATATTTAGAGCTAACCTCATTCCATAGATACAGTTATAAAGCTATTTCCCAGTCAAGAAAAAAACAAAAAAACTACTTTCTAGCTATCCAGGAGAGAAGCTGGTGAGTAACAAGAAATTTAGCTAACATTCACTTTTCAAGCCAGCAGACACAAATCCAAGATTGCTGTGTTAGAGAGGCCAGTCTCATCAGCAGGCCAGGTGAACAGGTACAGAAAGAAGGGGCTCAAATGAAAGCACATGGCAGGATGGACAGATTGAAAGAAAATAAGGGTGTGGGCTAAGGATATGCTGAGTGATAGAGCACTTGCCTAGCATATTAACCCAGGCCCTGGGTTCTATCCTCAGCACCACAAAACAAAATACTTCACTGAAAACACCGAGGAATGGGGAACTTTGTTAAACTGGTGATGAGGTAGGGAGGGTCCATTTTTTTCTTTCTATCCACTGGACAGCCGAGCTACCTATCTACCTGTCTCTACCTATGTATCTATGCTTGTTTAGGCTGAGCACACCTGGAGGCTAACAGCCCCACAGAGTGGAGCACTGCAGGTGTGCAGATTTCCACTTCTTGTCTCCCCCACAAAAGACCCACCACCTCTACCTCTTCTGGTTATAATTAACTTCCTATAAGTTAAGACTGTAAACCCCATTAACTGCTAAAAATGCCCCTGGGAGAAGTGGTATGGTTTTTAGAAACAGATTTTTGCATCCAGATTCATGCCAAATCCCTCTCTTGGGGTAGCTTTTAGCTACTTTTTTTAGGGAAGAAGGGAGGGAGGCACAGGTGCTTGGGACCTATAGACATGTCGGGAGTACCGTGCAACAAGAAGGCAGGAGCCACAGGCCCAGTTTGCTTGTGTCTGGAAAGGTGGGCTGCTGCAGGACTTGTCTATTTTTTGTTTACCGAGTTCTCCTGCCTTCTGAATACAAAGCAGAAATTTCTGCCCATAAAACAACACTGAGTCAGAATGGTATTTTAATTGGCAGATACTTTGTGGACACTAACCAGACACAACTGACTGGCTTGCCAAGTCATCCTCCATAGCTGTAATATCGAACTGCAAAGCTGCCCGCCAGCATTTTGATGGGAGAAGAGTGGGATTTTCCATTTAAACAGATTTGCATCTTCAAGTATGCTACATAAAATTTCAACACACACAGTACATCAAACCTACTCACATTATAATCTGACCTAGGAATGTCAGAGTGATGCCTCATCTTTAAAAACAAAAACAAACAAAACAAAACCTCTTAGAAGATTTAATCTCAAACATTCAACAATTTAAGTATTACCATTTTGTAACCACTACATTAAAAAAATTGTTTGGGCAAGATTCACTGAAAGAATCAAAAACCTTAGGTAAAAGTTTGATGAGGGACATTCCCACAGAATATTTATTCATTTCAAAGGGGAAAGTAACTTCTCAGAAGAAACCAGGCATATATTACCCTTACTAAATGATAACAGTTCAAGTCACCCATCATGGGACAAACAGGAATCACATGCCTCCTGATGAAATGCACTGTGGAGAAAAACAGAAACAAAGAAACCCCCAACAAGGAGAACTGCACAGAACAGTTAGCCTACTCTCTTTAAAAATGTCAACTTCATAAAAGACCAAAAACCCCTTTCAGACTAAATATGACAAGAGACATAAAAGCCATGAGTAATTTTTTTAAAACATGCTGGATTGGACAATAAAGTGTTGTCAGGGACATTGGGACAATTACAGACACATGAATATGGACTGTAAATTAGGAAAACTCATTGTTAAACTTCCTATTTGGAAATTCTACTGTGGTTCTGTAAGAGGATGTCTTTGTCCTTAAGAAAAATCTGCTGAAGTACTGAAGTCGTTAGGGGTGATGGTAACCATGTTGCGGGTAACCACTCTCAAATGGTTTGACAATAAAAATAATCAGAAGCATTGTGTGTCCATGCGTGCGTGCGTGCGTGCGTGCGTGTGTGAGAGAGAGAGAGAGAGAGAGAGAACGTGAATGTCAACAAGTGTGAGTCTAACTTTTCTGTAAGTTTTTAAAAGTTAAAAAAGTACCATAGTTTTCAAAAAAACATTCATAGGAAAATGAAGACAAAATATTCTAAAAACTCTCAAACATTCAGTTTAGAAGTACTGAAGTCTGAGCTATCTAAAAGTACAGAAACAAAAAAGTACTACAAAAGGAGAGGCTGGGAGTTGTCATCTGTGTGTGTGTACTGAAAATTTTTTGGTAACCTCAGAGGAGGCTGCCAGTCTCTGGTGGCCACAGGAATCATGCCATATTTTACTAAGTAAAGGAAACAAGCACGGAAAGAATGACTTCCCACAAGTGAGGGGAAGGAGAACTACCCAGCTTGTTGAAGGTTAGCACAAATTTGGTGAGTCACTTCCTCCCCGGAGGAAGGCAAACATTTCTTATTTCCTGAAGGATTCATCAGTTCTGAGGGAACACCTGAGCTCTCTGCCTGCATCAGACTACCTAAACGATAAATTAAGTCAGGAGAAGCCACAGTCTGTCCCATCAAGCTTTGACACCACCTCAGTACCTCCAAGTTCAAAAGCAATGTCAACCTCCACATTACCAATTTTCTGGGAGGATAAAATGCAACTCAGACCAGAGATGTTCATAACTTAGTGTGCACACATATCCTCTAGCCTGGCATGGGGAATGACCTTGGTTTCTTTTGGCTCATCAGCCCCAAGGCTCCCCAGTCCTGAACCAAACCTACTTAGCCCCCAAGGTTCGGAACTGCAGCTTCCTGGCAAAGCAACCCTGACTCGGAGAAGCAGCCCCTGCCAGCAGCACGCACGTGGCCCGATTAGGCCGAGTGTGCTCTAAAATGCACACGCTCTCCTGACGGGTGCTTCTCATTGCAGGAAACCTCGCTCCTGAGCCACTTCTCGGCCTCTCTTAGCATGAAACGGACCAAGTGGCTCTGTGCCACAGGAAGCATCGTTTAGAGAGGTAGACTTTTAAGTTGCTTTACCTCAGAGGATCCTAAATAGAACGTTCTAGCATAATTACAATGGAATAAAGCAGAAAAGGAAAAGGTCATAAAAAAAAAATGGAACTTGGTTAACTTTTGTGGGGTTTTTTTTTTTTTAGTTGCCTAAAAGAAATCATGAAAATATATGACAAGACATAGCATTATCTCCCATGAAAGTGGCCAATTACAGGAGATTCCCAAGTTGGACAGGGAAACAAAAATATTCCCTTTAACAGGAAAGGTTAGGTAACATGTGCCAGCTTCTGGCGCACAGTCATCTAGGTTTACGGTCACCTGCCAATACGAGGTACATGCGGAGGGTAGTTTTTTTTGTTGGGAATATTTTTTGGTCTTTGTACTTTGCTCTTTATGACTTTCATTTTATATTAAGAAATAATGGAAACGCTGGAAACTTCATCTCCGTTTCCTGCCCTTTCCTTATTTCCAGGTATTTAGTTGGGGTTACCCTTGTGTGAAATCTGTAACTTGCGTTAGAAACGCTCAGATATTATTGATTGGGTTGCAAAATAAACTCTCTCTCTCTCTCTCTCTCTCTCACACACACACACACACACACACACACACACACACACACAAGTACACACACACACACACACATTAAGGAAAACCACACCAATTCCAGACCCGAAAGCACCTTCCTGGAATCTCAGATCCCGGCAGATGGGACACTTACTTCCTTTCGACTTCTGGTGTTGATGCGGCACTGCAGAAGCCAAGCGACTCCTAGGAGAGAGAAGAGTGGCAGCGTGAGGACAGGCAGAGCACGGCTTCATCTGATTGCTACAGAATGTCAGGTAAGGAAAGAGACAGGCACAAACGGACACGATTAAAGTCATTGTGCTTACTTCGATCTGGGACCGCAGCTGAAGGGCCGTGGGGTTGGCTTCAGGTTTCTCCTAAAACAGAACAGATGCTGCTTTAATGAGGCTCCCAAACGTGGCACACTCCAGAAAGACAAATACATGTGTAAGAAGAGACGGGAGGATTTGGGAAACGCTGCACCATACAGTGGGAGGAGATGGTGGCCAGGCAAATAGTAAAACGACAGCTCTTGGCCTCTTAAAATTGAACAGTTTACCCAACTTCACGGCCATACCCTGCCGACAATTTGTGGTGAAATATTTCTCTTAGACTATCGCTAGGACACAGAACTGACCGCAGCTGGTTCGAGGGCAGTTTATTTTTCAATAACAATGGAGTTCCAATGCAAAAGTTCTAAATATATTCAAAGAAGCCAGTAATGCAGGGCTTGCTGTAAGTGTCTTGAGGAACCTGGAAAGCTAACCTGATGTTATTTTGCACCCCTAAAAATCACCATACTCCTATAATAGAAAGGAAGTGACCAATCTGAAAATTCACAAACAAAATCTGTCATCATATAAGTGATAAATGAAATATAAATGCATGATATTGTGAGTGCATTGAAAAAAATATTAAATCATAAAGAATAGACAAAGGAAATAATTTTAGGGATAAAACCATGGAGTATAATACCTTCAATTTTATAGTTAAGGACACCAGATTCCTTCTGAAAGTAATACAAAAGGGGAGAAATAAACCAGTTACCTTTGGTAAAAATAATGGGTTGAAGTGAACTTCGGCAGTACAACATAAAAATCTCACTCTGAAAGTTTTAGATCTAATTTTAGGAAAACAAGAATTGTCCTAGTACAGAGTGCCACGTTGATGTTTTTCATAAGCAAAAATTAATTCCTAACCAACAAAAGTGTAAACTGAGGTCCTCACCAAAGCATCATTCCCAGATAAGAAGAGATCCCTGATGGTCCTACTGCAAGCAGAATGCTGGGCACTTTCAGAGGAAGCAGTGATGATCACTAACATTATACATTACTGATTTCTCCAGTAATCCTATCGTGACAGTGGCCATCTATATTTCTTCAGGACAGAACAGGACTTTAGGAATTGTTTTGTTCATCTCTGCTAACATCCAGGAAGGGGAAGGTCATCTCCAAGAGAGTATCTGACAGTTCAATTTATTAAAGTTGCCTATTCATCATTAACAGGAAGCAAAACAGCACCAACATGGAAAAACGTGTGCTGAAGTAGAAGTAGCAGTGAAGCAAGTACAACTCGAGTACGGTGACATATGTAAGCTGGTAGCAGGAATCCGAATACAGAACTTCAAAATGACTGTGCTTTCGTGCAGGGTTGAGAGGGGTGGGCACTGAGGACCTGTGCACAACAATGTGCACGTGGATGACAACAGTGTGCTGTACTCTTTCAAACTAGTGGGAGGGTGTGTTTTCAGTTATGTGGGAAGTTTTTTGGTTTTGCCACAATAAAAACAATGAATGTGCTGGAAGGAGTAAATGTGAGAACGGGACAATTGTGGAGAAGCTTGAACATGAAAAGTGTCTTAATGGACTGACAACTCACTCACCCCCTTGTTCCAGCCCCTTGTCTGTTTCTAAAAGGGACCGGAGTGGCGTGCAGGCCCATTGAAATTTTCTTTCATTTATGTTCTCCTGGTTTTTATTGCTGCCAAGGTTAATAATGCTTAGATTCCTGTATCAAACTTGGTATCTTGTTTTTATAAAACAGGGTATGGGAAATGTGTGAACTACTAAGAGTGTGTCAGTCAGATGCCATCAGCAAACGGGTCTGTCCTGTGACTGTCCTAGTGCTTACAGACTAGTCTGGTACCTGAAGCCTGCCTTTGAGCATTGCATAGAGAAATTTACACACACAAGCAGCAGGAGGCAAGCTAAAGTAGTTTGCAATTTTTTTATCCCAAGTCTTCCTAAGCTGGTAGAGAAACCTCAGAATGAGGACAAATCTCTATTAGTTCTTCTCAAATTCTCTGAAATTGCCCTTTTAAACACTAAACTCCAGCCCACGTCCTTCTGTAGTCCAAAACAAAAATGACTGGTTCAACTCACACCTGCTCCACTCTTCTCCTTTCTTTAATCTCTAAATTTCTACCTCACTAGGTAATAGTCCTTGATAAGAAATTATCTTCTTTTATTCTGTATATCTACCTGCGTTCTTCTAATAGGATGTATTTGTGGAATCTATCACTTTTTGTGCCTTGTCACAAGTGTCATCATACATTATGCAAAAGGTACCTGTCCCTGTCTGCAAAGTTAAGGACCTAAATGATGCCTGGAGAAAAAACAGAATGGACTACTGCAAAATTCCATTGTTATGAAACTGATGGATGTCACATGATACCAATAACAAAATTTCAGAGGAGCAATTACTGTTATGTATGTGTACATGCTATGAAATATTTAAAGTATAAAAAATGTACAACAAAAAATACAGCAAATGCTTGTGACCCATCATAGGGCCTGAAGAATGCAATACAGAAAGAATTAAAGCCAGTGAATGTTCTGATACACACTGGATGAAACGTCTCGTGGCAGTATGGAGCAAGTCTTAGATGAGAAGTGCTGGACAATGTTTTACCGTATCACTGAAAAAATAATTAGGCTTTCTTACAATACAATATGGAGTAAAACAGTAGAATGGAAGCCAACAGAAGAAACAGTAGCAATTTATGCAGAAAAAAAAGGTGACATTTTCAAAATAAAAGCAGCAAAGACTCAATCTACAAAGGAGCATTAATGTCTCACTTCCTTGTCTAGAATCTAGAGTAGATGCCTCCAACCCAATTAAGTGTCGTGGAGGGAAAGGGGCAGAAGGTCATAGTTCTAGAAGTTTTGGGTGGGGTTTGGGGGAGTCTGGATGAAGGAGAAAGGTAAAGAAGAATTTAAGAGACGCACGTGATGATCATCCAGTTACAACTACTTTATTCAGAGAACAACTGATGATCCACAATACAGCTCCTGATCTGGAAGTCATCGTGTTGATGGCAGTAGTAAGAATGGTGGACACCACCAAAACACAGCCTTGGTCATATGTCATGCACCTACTGACCATATGATGAGAAGAAATGTTCACTGAGAATAAGACTCTTCACTAACATGCTGGCTGTTTTGGTTACTTCTGCTGTGTAACAAATCATTCCAAATACAGTGACAGAAACCAACATTTTCTGATGCTCATAGATTCTGTGGATAAAAATTCAGAATGACGACAGCACCAAAGGCTCATCTCAGCTCCACAGTGTGTGGAGTCTCAGCTGGGGAGATTCAGAGGCTGGGGGCAACTGGATGGGTGGGGCTGTGCTCCCTGGAACACTCACTCACTCACATGCCTGGAGGCTGAAGATGGCTAACAGCTGGGGCCTAAGCAGGGGTGACCACTGCAACACTGATGTGTGGGTGCTCCAAGTAGGGCTACAGAGTTGCCTGGGCTTCCCCACAGTAGGATGTAAGGCTGCAAGGGTGAACACATGGAGAGAGCCAAACAGAAGCTGTATTACCTTTCACAATGCAGCTTCATCCTGTGTGACATCTGCTGGCCCCCATTTCTCAGTGGGAGAAGTGTCAAAGTCACTTTGTGAGAACATTGGGACAGGAAACATCACTGTGGGTACTCTTAGAAATTAGTCTGCCATGCTGGCTGCCAAGGGGATGAGCACACTCACAAGTTTCAAAATTAGAATGAGATGAGACCATTTATTCACAATGTGCATTAGGATTATCTTGTGATCTGTACAGTTTACCTTGGCAATACATTTCAGCCTAAAACTACCACTGAAAGGTAAAATATTGCACTGGTTTAGCCTACAACCATTCTAAATCTCATCCAAATGTAATAGAAAATCTCAAATATACAAAAGTAAAGAGAACAGTATAATGAACCACCGAATTCAATCACTCAGCTCCCACAATCATCAACGTGTGGTCATTTTGTTCCATCTACACCTCCATCCAAGTTGCAACTCCAAAGAGAATCCAAGTATGTACCGTGAACCATCACAAGTTTTAAAGTTAAGAATTAGCTATGAGGTCTTCTTAAGTCTTAATGGCTGCTTAATCTTCACCACCACGAATTTGACTCTGTCCTAGCACTGGAGGACTGTCTGAATACTGCAGGGGGAAAAATCATGTTTATGAGATTCAGATCTTACAGAAGAACTTGAAGAAAGACATTCTAAAGTTGACAGCTACTAATGAGTCCATCAAGAAAGTGCTTGCTATTGTCACCTAAGTGTAAATACATCATCATTGTAACATTTGAAAATGACATGCCCATTGACTTTGCACTTCACAGAGCAGTAGGGGCAGATGAGCTACATAATTTGGTCCTTGTTCAATACAAGGATTCAGAATTACATGGGCGATTACCCAACACTGAACTCAGACCTACATTTATAAAACTTTGCTGAAATTTTCAAACACATTTTTAAGTGGACCTATGAAATTTGACCTATGGATTAACCCACACCTGGATATCTCAGTGAAGAACAACGAGCATCATTATGAACTCTTAGGACAACCTATCCAACTTACTAAGGTAGAACAGAGAAAACTCAATCAAAACATAAATACATCCCTATATGTTTGCATGTGTATTTGGCTTTGTGTGTGTGTACACACAGGGAATATCCCTGAGGCCCTGCACCAAGGGTTAAAACCATACCCTATGCCTCTAGTCTGCATTGTTTACAAGCATGCAGTCTTGCATTACAGTCATTACTTTTTCTAAAGATGAAAGATCAGCTTAAAATACAATCACTAGATTGTTTTCAAATGATTTATGTGCATATGTTTACAAATGCATAAGAAAACATGTAAGGACTCTTATACATCAAAGGTTACTTCTGCAGGGACCACTGCGTTTCCCAACTTTCAACATGTTTTTCAAATATATATTACTTTTACATTTCAAAAAGCATAATAAAAGACTCCCAAATTAAATAACAATTAAGTTGTATCACAGCAGTTAAATTTTAAAATCTACGTAGAGATACATTAAAACCTAGTTTCTCTTAATAAGATCAACTCATGTTTTTTTTTTTTTCCCT